TTTTATTAAGTCAATGTACAGTTGGTTCTAAAATTGAGTTGAAACGATGTTGCCATTCCAAGATTAATGCTTTTGCTTATATTTTTTTAAATTTTCTGCTGGTAAAAGATTACATATTTTAAAATAATATAATTATTCATTTCGGCAATTCCTTGGCTGGACATATTTTGGTTCATCGCCCATAAGGATCAGAATGTGCAAGCTCATTTGGGTTGAATAATTTGCATCTTTTTTCCTGTTCTCCGTCTGGTTTAGGTACATTTATGCAGGATAAATCATCATCACAATCAGTACAATCGTTAAAGTTGTCACATCTCTTGTCAAAATCTTCGCAATTGGAGTTGGACATATACCCCTGAAAGCATAATAAAAATATATTACTGCATGATGCAGCAGGATCTAGATCAGAGTTTCAACTACGCATCAAAATGACACGTGATAAATACTAGTTAAATAAATTGTGGTTGAATCGTAGCACGTAATGAATCTGTAGGCAATGTGTGTCAAACTGTTTATCAGTTTATACTGTTACTTGAAATGCATATGCTTGTCTTCGGCACTCCCTGAGCTTGTCCTTTTGTAGCCAAGCAATGTACTATAAAAGTGTACTTTCGACATGAATTATTCTGAATTAGAAAGCCACAGACCAAAGGTTTAATTAGAGGAGATCAAAGTACGCATCTCCAATCCATGGGAAGGTTTCGCTTGTTTTACAGCGCCGAAATTATATTTATTTGATGTATATTAGTAATATAGCTAAAAACGTCTTTCATTAGTTGAAGTGCGTGCTCAATAAATATTGTACACGGATATTTTTGCGAACATTTCCTCCAGAATTTTCGCAAAACATTTCTTGGTTATTTTCAATTTGTTGAACAAACGCACTCAAGCAGTAACTCTGACTAACTCAGATTCTTAGCGTCTCGATTAACTCACACTTTTTTGCTCTCCTGCAATCCCCACCTGCGTCAACATAACTCGAATGAGTACGCCAAAACATAGCATAATTTTTCTGTATCGTTTAAAATCGCGTCTAAATATGCCTATATTTAACGATACATTGTTAACAGAAGTTGTTGCATACACTTTATCCTATTAGACAACTAGCATGATATCAAAAGTCGACAAATAGCTTCATACCTTAAATTAGAAAAAAATCATTTTCGCAATAACATTTTAGCCCAAAAATACTTGTTAGAAATTCGAAAATAATTTTAACTAGTAATTTAACTAAAAATTAACAATTGTTACACGACAATAATGATGATTGTGTATTCAAATTAAATTTCATTAATTGATATTGGCAAGAATTTTTGATATAGCCGCCTTCAATTTTCCGCAAGCATATTTTTAACATCCTAGTTTAACCAGAAAAATAGGCAGATACAAAATACAAACTAAAATATTGTTATTCAATTTATATGGGGTCATCAACGTGTTTCGCTATTCAGAATATGAATCAAAACATAAAATTATTATCAATGGTTCCGATTTCAAAATCATGCAGGAATATATTAATTTTAAATTAGGTATTTAATTCAAGCATTTTACAAATTTGAAATGTACATTATAAAGCACCTTAGAACACTTGTTAGTTTTATTAATTTTTAAGAATAATTATTTATTGTAATTTTAGTACAATATTCATTTATAATTCGTAAAGAAGATTCAAAAGGAATGGTTCTAAATATGATGTAAACGTTTGGGGGTGTTAAACGCTTTGGGATGTTTTAAGATGTGTGGGCTTGCTTCACGTAACCAGACAACGACAAGGTCTTTCCATTGTCCCAAGTCCTCTGTGCACGCTTTTGATTTCCGTGACGTCACCGAGCGAAACGCGCGCAAGAGGACTAGCACTAATTGTTTTCTAGCCTGCAAAGGCGCTCGCGGGCTTGGTAAATCCCGTAAATGGTTTTCCAATATGGCGGAATTCCAGAATATATAAAATTGTATAAACATAGAAGAATATGGCGAATATTTACAGGTAAACGTGAGTATTAAGGATATTATGGTTGTACAATGTAAATAAAACATAACTACTTAAGTTATAGGTATTATAACTTATTCACCCAATGTGGTGTGCCCCAAGGTTCAATTTTAGACCCTCTCCTTCTTATTTTATATGTAAATGACCTTCCGAATGCCTCCCGTATAGTTGAACCTTTGCTATTTGCGGATGATGCCAGCATCTGTTACCCTCACTCTGCCCCTGTGGTACTAGCTGCAGTGTTAAACGAAGTATTGTAAAGCATCGGTTCTTGGATGAGAGCAAAGAAACTCTCTGTTAATATTGACAAAACAGACTGTTATTTTCCACTCCAGGCATAAGAAAGTCTCTTATGATATATCTCTCTCTTTCGATGACAAATGTATTACTCGTAACCAAAGGTTAAGTTACTGGGGGCTTTTCTGGATGAGAATCTCACCTGGAAACCTCACATTAGTCATGTCTGTAAAAAGATTTTTAAGTCTAAAGGCATAATTTATCGAGCTCGTTTTTACTTGTTAGCTAGTACTAAATTGTCATTGTACTACAGGTTAATCTACCCATACCGTATCTATTGTAACACTGCTTGGTCCTCAACCTATGTTTCCAATTTAAGTCGCATATTTTTATTACAGAAACGAATTGTCAGAGTGCTGACCAATTCTAATTACCGGGCGCATACTGCTCCACTATTTAGTAAATTAAAAATACTCAATATATATAAGCTTAATTCCTTCCACATTGGTAAATTCATGTTTTCTTACCACAATCAGCTATTACCACCCTCTTTTCTCAATATGTTTATTACCAACAATGAAATCCATCATTACAACACTAGAAATGCGAGTTCATACCGAGCTCATGCATGTAGAACAAATGTAAAGCAGTTCACCATCCTATTTCAAGGACCCAAATTGTGGAATTCTCTCCCAGAGTTTGTCAAGAGTGCAGAGACGATAAATTGCTTCAGGAACAGAATTTTGAAATACTCGCTAGATGCCTAATTACGTTTTTCTTGACCTCACCTAACTAATCATTTTTTCTGATCTATATTTTCTACTGCTCTACTGCTCCAAGGAGACATCCTATTTACAAGCCCTATGGTTTCCGGATGCCTCCTTGCCACCAATATCTACTTTATGATGTATACATATTGACTATTTAAAATTAACTATATTATTATCATAAAATAACTTGTATATAAAGGCCCTGTCACACTATTGAGTATCGTATTAGCGTATGCCAGCGTATGAAAAATATCACTCATACGCCGGTGTACGCTGACATACACTAGAGGTACGTTAGGCATAGGTTGCATACGTTTCAAGCACGGTCGCATACGGTTGGCATACGCTGGCATACGGCGAGGCAGAAAATTTTTTTTAAGCATGTTCAAAAATGTTGTGCATATCGGACGTATGCTTTATACGACTAGCATACTCTAGACACACGCTGAATATGCTAGAGGTACGCCAGATGTACGGTAGTCATACGCTGGCATTTCAATAGATTTTTGTGGGTATGAAAATTATTTCATTGATTTTCATACGCTTCTCATACGTTTCTTTCATACGCAATAGTGTGACAGGGCTTTAACTGATATCTGTGGCAAATAAAATTATCTCTAATCTCTATCTCTTCTTTCAGGAATGACATATATTTAAAGTACATTGTAAGTTTGTAACATATTTTTGACTATTAATAGTCTATTACCAAGAAGATGTGATTTGCAACCTGTCATGGAGAAGGTTTTTGGATATTTTACATGCATAAAAATAATAATTGTAATAGTAGATGCTTTATCTGCAAAGTAACTAATAAAAGATGATGTTTTGGGGCTTATTACTGCTTAATGGAGCTGTAATAATATCATTCAACAATTGAATAAATTAAAAATTCAATAACAATTTTAATAATAATAAATTTCACAATAATTTTATTACAATAAATACATTTATTATTATGTACGTATTAAGTTAACAACAATAATCTCCAAATCTTCCTCTATTCCTGTTCACATGTGCCTGGACTGTTTGTGTAGAAATTGTTACTTCAGTTTTTACATACTAATAATTAGATCCTGTACCTTGTGAATGTTCTAACACGAACTAATTCGAACAAGTAGCATTTGAATATAAACAAAGGAACACCGGTGTTCTCGGAAGACCTAACAACAAGCCATAGGTGGGTGGTGATCAGGTAATTCTCGTTTGAAATTACAAACATGATACTATGCACAGTTCGGCCAGTTCATGACTGACGAAATAAATTAACAGCAAATTTATGTACCTCCATGTTGTCCAATATGTCTTGCCTGAACTTTATCATTCACAAATACCACTTTCACCAAATCCTTCAAATATGACCTTGTTTAATTCTTAGAATTCTATATTTTCTTGACAACTGTCCCCGTATATTTGAATGATGTAGTTTCTTTGCACTTCACTTGGTGGAATTAATATTAGAATGTTAGGGTTTGTAATCCAAGTGATTATATACATTTTAAGACCTGACCAGGAACGACTGCGAAAAATGCAGCACAAGGTCCTCTGGTAGGAATCGAACCTACGGCCCTGCGATTCCGGTGCAGCTCTCCAAGGCCAGCTGTTGAGCTGTAACCGTAAAATGTATATAATCACTTGGATTACAAACCCTAACATTCTAATATTAATTCCACCAAGTGAAGTGCAAAGAAACTACATCATTCAAGTCCACCTTATCACAACCCGCCCACCCGATTACCTATATATACATGAACTTACGGTTACAGCTCAACAGCTGGCCTCTGTAGCTGAGTTGGTTAGAGCGCTGCACCGGAATCGCGGGCCGTAGGTTCGATTCCTACCAGAGGACCTTGTGCTGCATTTTTCGCAGTCGTTCCTGGTCAGGTCTTAAAATGTATATAATCACATGGATTACAAACCCTAAAATTCTAATGTCCCTGTATATGCCTGTATACGGTACCATTCACATTTTCTGTCACGGGTAAAACATTTCCTAAACATCAAACAAAAATTAGAAAATAAAAATTGTTGGCAAGTACAAGTACATAAAACATTTATACCTTGATCTATAAATTCTTAACAACACAGTACTCAAAGCTCGCAAATATTCAAACGTTCTAGTTAACACAGGCGAATACATGCATTTCAATAGTGCATTGATAAATATCTTTACTATATTAGTTAATATTCTACGTTACAGCAGGGTTATCCCAGGATATCGATAAATAGTTTCTCACCTTCTACTTCTAAATTC